CGCCGCCGCCTCGGTGGGTGCGCCCTCCGGCCAGGGTGGGTGCGAGGGGGAGGGCGGGACTCCCCTCCAGGCTGACCGCCTGGCATGACACAACCGAAACATGACCTACATCATCTCACTTCCCTCTCCCTGCAGACCGCCTAGGAGGAGAGAACCAGCGTGAGCCCACTCTGCAGTCAGGAAGCTGAGGCCAGAGAGGTTAGGGAACTTGCCCTCTAGCCTAAAGTCACAGAGATACAGAGCCAGACAGTATAGCTCTGGAGCCCACCCCTTTGCCAGCGCCCCATAAATGACATCCCGAAGGGCTCTGACCACACACAGGCTTTCCTTGTGTTACAAGCGTCCTGAGCACCTTCTACGTGCTGTGTAGGTGCTAGGAATACAGAGAGGAGTCAGACACAGCTCCCTGCCCTTGAACAGGATGCCAGGGAGTAAGCATTTGGTTATGGTCTGCAGAGAGAGATGCAGTCAGCCCAGGTACCGCAGAAGCCCAGAGTATGGCCTCACTCTGGAGGGCAGCTGGACAGGAGCCAGGAGGGAAGGCTTTACACAGGCAAGGGGAGGCGAAATCCGAAGCTCTAAGCAGGAGGGAGCTGGGAGAACAGGGGCTCAGCGTCTTCCTAGCAGAGGGAACAGCACGTGGGGAGCGTGGAAGCCTGAACGAGCAGGCTGTCTTCAGAGAGCTGCAGGTGGCCCCTCAGAACTCTGGCTGCGCTGGATGAGACCTTGCTCTGTGCCCCAGAGAGGGCCCTCCCAGAGCCTCTCGGACCACCCGGGTCAGCAGCGCCAGCCTCCAGCTCCGTGGGATGAAATCTCGAATTTGTCACAGTTGCACTGATTGCCATCTATGCTGGGGCCACGCTGGCTTTCTCGCCTGGTCTCCAAAGTCGCCAAGCGTTCTGTGCTTGGGGGGCCTCAGAAAAGCAGGTTCTTCTGTTAGGCCCACTCCTCCCTCCCCCTCCTCCTCGGGAACTCCAGTCTTTCAGGTCACTTCTTCACATCCTGCTGGCTAGATGTCCGCTCTTCAGACTACTCTCCACAGTGGGGTGGGTGGATGGCAGGGCTTGTGGCCTGGAGGCTGCCATGGAGATTCATGCCTCCTCTCTCTTTGTCCCCCACACAGAGCACCCAGTCACGCAGGACACCCCACCGCGGTAAGTGAGCTACCCCTGCTCCTCTTGGACCTTTCTCCTCTTGGTGTCTGTCCAAGTGAGGGCCTGTATTGAAGGAGAAACATTCTAAGAGACCTGGGGCCAGGTTGGGAAGGTTTGTCTCAGATGCTGGTGAGAGGCGGGAGGGGGGTGACCGCCTTCCAGGACCCACTCGGCAGGCTCAGCGCTCTTAAGTCCACGCCCCACGGTGCCCGAGGGCTGGCAGAGCCACGTCGCCGGCCCAGGCCCCTCCCTGCAGCCACCTGCTCAGCGATCCCCCACGTTCTGGAATCCTCGTGCAAAGGCCCTTTCCTTTGCTCATCTACTACCACACCAAGGCACCTAAATCAGAAAACTGTTGTTCAAATATCTGTTGAGTCCCTACCAAGCCCCAGGCACTGCTCTGGATGCTAAATGTACAGCCAAAATCCCCGACTTCAGAGAACTCAGTTTACTGTGAAGAATTTTCATAAACACATTAACCAGAAATCTTAGATTCTAAAATAAGAGCTGTGGGGAAAATGGACCAGGTGATGGAGGAAAGCGCCAGGGGAGGGAGATGCCGCTGGGCTCCGAGGACACTGAGGAGACCTGAGGCGGGAGCCAGGTGGGCAGACAAGGGTGGTGGCGGCAATCCGGAGGAGAAGGCTCTAGGAAGGCTGCAGGGAGACCAGGAAATAGGCAGGGAGGGCGGGCAGGCTGTGGGATGTGTGCTGAGTGCGATGGGAAGTCCCTGAATGGTTTTAAGCAGATGAGTGGCCCCCTCTGAACAGGAGTCGGGGCAGGAGACCTGTGAGGGGCTGAGGATGCTTGGTTGCTTGAATGAAGAGGGGGCGGGGCAATGGGGCAGCCAGAGGCAGGCCTGGCCAGAGGAGGGGGGGGTGGGGGGCAGCACAAACAAGGGAGGGAGCCGGCAAGTCTGAAGCTGGAACCTTGGGTGCCACTTCCTGAGCTGAAGATGAAGAGAGAGTAGGGGGTGGGGATCGCCCGACCACTGTCGACATTTAGTTTTGAGATGCTCGTGAGGCCACCCCAAAAGTCAGGAAAGCATTTGGAGCTCAGGAGGCCCGATCTGGAGGTCAGGACCCCAGAAGTCAGGACCCCAGAGGAGGTTTTTGAAGCCACAGAGGAGATCCCTTCGGGAAGACAGAGGGTCTGTGGTCTGGGATCTGTCACCCAGGTAGTCCCCTCCCTGTTCCCCAAGTTCTGCCGCTGTCCCACCTCCAACCTTCATTTAGTCTCCAGTCCCTGTTGGAGGGGGGCCCCCGACACCCATCTCACCCCTCCTTCCTGCCCCTTGCTGGGCTGTGGTTTGGGCAGTCCGGGACCCCTCCTGACTGAGGGATCAGCCAACTTTCTCCTGTCCACAGGCCCCAGGCTCAGGAGTCCAACTATGAAAACTTGAGCCAGATGAGCCCCAGGGGCCCACGGGCAGCCACGTGTTCACCGTGAGGAGCCCTGCAGCCACCGACATCCACTGGTCTCCATGCGGCGTGAAGGCCAACCTGAGGCTGGGCTGGGATGGCCCTTCCTGACTCCCAGGCACCTTGGCAGCCCCAGCCAGGCAGCACTCCAAAGGCGGCCAGGACCCTACTCACAGAGGCTCAGTGGTCCCCTACGTGGACATTTGTCCCCAAGTCCCAGCAATATTTCTGTCATTGGTGCTGCATTTTGAAAGGGGGGTGGGGGCACGTGTGCATGCATGACCTCAAGCTTCTGGAAAGCTCCTCTCACCATTTCTTACCTAGAACACCACAGTCAAGCTGGCAGGACACTGGTCAGAGGGTGTCGAGGCCCAGGCTCCGTCCTGGCTCTGTCACCGACTTGCTGTGTGGACCAAGGCATTTTTCACCTCTGTGGGTCTCAAAACTCGTCCACTGTTGAACATGGATAATATTCTCCCCTCCTGGCTCAGGACTATCAGGGTGTAAGGAAGTAGTGGACGTGAGGGACTTTGGGAAATACGAAGTCACCTAGGGATGTGACTGAAGGGTGTTTCAGGCCCCTCCTTGCAGGGCAGTCTCGGGACGTGCAGCCCTGGACGAGTGTGCCGGCCTCACTGAGAGTGAGGATTCCAGAGAGCAAAACTGGCGCTGGGCTGGGCTCTGGCCCCAGGAGCATCAAGGTGACAGCAAGGGGAAGCCTGGCGTCCCTGCCCTGGGGCCTTCTCTGTGGCTGCCCCACACTCTTTGCCCACCTCTTACCCCATCTGCTGCTCTGCACTGCCTTCATCTGGGAAAGGAAACAAAGCATCTTCTGGACGCATCTGGAATCCACCGTCCTTAAGGACCAAAAGCTGGGAGGTGTGAGGGGGACACCACCGGTGTCCGTAGATGAAGCAGCTGCGGTCGGGGCCCTCTGCCACCTGCACCCTCCCTGGATGTGCACGAGCCAGAAACACCAGCGGTTTACTCCCATTTGCACAAGGGCTGCCAGGCTGACTGCAGGGTGCTGCCTTCCCCCCTCACACTTCAGTGCACCTTTTAGCTCCTGCAGTGCAGTCCTTGGGGGCAGAGAGAGGGGGAGGAGTGTGCTTGGGACTCGAGTGAGCTGGCAAGAGGAAAAGGCCACAGAGGTAGGGAACTGAAGGGGCAGTGGGAACAAACTTTCTTTCCTTCGGAGCTTTTCCAGAAGCTGCAGTGGTACCCAGAGTCACTGGACTGAGCACAGGGTCCTCTCTGATGCCTTCCGGGGACACGGCCTGAAGGCTGCGGGATCGTTAACAAGCAGGGTAGCGGGTTACGAGGGTTCCTCTCCTCACTGGAGCCTTCACCAGGGCACAGGGGTGATGGCGGCTCATGGTTAACTCGGGATTTATCCAGGAGCCTGTCTGAGCTGTGAAGAGGTCAGAGGAGTTGGCATTTGTACCTCTTTGTACAGGGTACTTACTCTGTGATTTGGGGCACTTCTGTGGAGAATCTTGTGTCATCAGGGAAGGACACAGGGATGGTGCGTCTTAGAACATCTGCCTGGTCTTTGAGGCCAGTTTCAGAGCCAAGATAAGCAGTGATAGGAATTGTTTTTTATGCATCTGTTTTGTGCTAGCGGTTGGGCCAGGTGTTTGGGGGTATAGAGATGAATAAGGCATGTGTATCAGTCCGGCTGGGTTAGGTTGTGCTGTAGCAACAAACCCCACATCACCGTGGCTGAGAACGATCAGGGTTTCTTCCCTCCAAAGCTGCATGCCCGGCACAGATCAGCTAGGGGCTCTGGGCATTGTACTTACTCAGGGACACAGGCTCCCAGAGACCCGCCTTCTCTGATGTGGGTTGCTGGGTTGTTGATAAAAAGAAAGCTCTGGAGGGTCTCCCACTTGTGATCATAGTTCATTGGCCAGAACTGGCTACATAGTTCCAGGTCAGAACTCCCCTCGAGGGGCTGGGCAGTGCGACCCTGCCCTGTACCTGGAAAGAGGGAAGCGAGGGGCATTTGGGAACAACCCTGATGACTCCACGGAGGACTCTCCAGGGGTTCTCACACTAGTGAGCGACACAGAACAGTAAATGGGAAATCATGTAAGGGCATCAGTTTGCTGGGGCAAAGGGGGAGGGGCTGTGGGCGCACATAGAAGAGGGGACTGACCCAGCCTTCAGAAGGCTGCTTGGAGTGGGGGACGTGAAGATGGTACACACTGGCCATGTACGTGGGGGAGAACGGAGGTTGGGAGGTAAGAAAAAAGGTCATTCTAAGCAGGAGGGACATTCTGAGCAAAGGCCAGGAGGTGGGACAAGCATGATGTCTGAGGAGTTGAAAGCTGCTGGAGCATGGGGGGAGAGGCAGGTGTGGCTGGAGCTGAGGCTCCGCATGGAGGCTTCTGCATGGTGGAGGGCGCTGCCCAGCAGGGATGAGCAGTGGGAGGGATCCAGGCCGCCGTGCACCACTCAGCATGGCTGCTTTCACCCGTCTGACCACTGCTGTGCTCCGGACTCACAACACGCTGGGGCTGGAGTTTCCCCTGGGACCCTGAGCTCTCAGAGCAGGGACTCCCCCGTGGGCTCCGAGGATCAACTGCATCAGGAGCACCCGGGGAGCTTGCGCAACTCCCCATTCTCAGCACAACTGGACCACCTGCGTCACAGACTCCGAGGGCAGGGACTTTAAACCATCCAGGTGATTTTACCCCTAATTTTGTATTATGATCATTTTCAAACACACATCCACACTAAGCTGAAAAAGTAAGGTCATCACTCAGACGCCCACCACCCACGTTCAACAGTTTCTAACATTTTGTGTTTACTTCATGCACGTGTGCCTGTGTGTGTGTGTGTGCGTGTGTTTGTATTTGGCCGAACCATTTGAGAGTAGACTGCAAACATCACAGTACTTTACCCTGAAATATCTCAGCTGTGTCTCCCGACCCCTCAATGTCACTATCACATTGGATGAAATGAACAATTATTCAATAACATCGCCTACATTCGTATCTCCCCAGCTGTCCTTTTTCAGCTTGCTGTTTCTAACCAGGGTCCAGCTGACCCCAGGTAATTTTGAAGCAAGCTAAGCTGGAGACCCCCTCTGGGCTGGCCCGGCTTGTAAGGGTGCTGCTAGCTACCAGCTCGGTGGTCCTTCCCGCGGTGTTTGCGCCTTGGAGGAGGGCTTCCTACCAGCTGAAGCCGCAGCAGCCCTCTCTGCTGGGGAGTTTCAGACACAGCGATGGGCCGGGCCGTGGGAGCTCGGTAGGAGGACCAGCAGAGGCGCCTTCTAACAATTTGCCGACAATGCGCAGGCCACCTCCTGCTGTGTCTACAGATAAAGCTCTGCTGGGGGAGGTGGAGGGTGGTGAGGGGAGTGAATGCACTTGACCATCATCAGACCCCCTGGGCTGGCCAAGGAGCTGAGGAGCACCCAGATTCTGTCGGTGGCGAGCAAGGACCAGAGCTCAGTCATTAGTGTCTCTGCGGCCACAGAGTCATGGCAGAAGTGACCTAGGAGATCTGGTGTTTTCAAGACAGGACTTCGTGATGTGGCAGGGCAGGGAGCTCGGGCGTCTGCTCTCAGGAGCCTTTCCTTCCCAGAGGGGCTTCCGACAACCCAACTTCCCTCTGCTCCCAGCTGCCCCTCTCCAACCTCACCCCCGGCCATTCCGGGAGGTGGGCCTCAGGAGGAAGGGTGACAGCTGGCCAGGTGCCTGCCCAGATCCACCTGGAGCCGAGCACACTTGCCTTCAAAGAGCTAATACACTAGACTACTATATATGGCATGGATAAACAACAAGGTTTTACTGGATAGCACGGGGAACTATATTCAATATCTCGTAGTCACCTATAATGAAAAAGAATATGAAAAGGAATATGTGTATGTATATGTATGACTGAAATACTATGCTGTTCACCAGAAACTGAAACAACATTGTAAACTGTACTTCAATTTAAAAAATGGAAAATAAATACATTTTAAACTGCGATGTGGCCCCATGAGAAGTCACCATCCCAGCGTTAATCAATGATGAAGGCAGGCCTGCCTTGGACAGAGGTGACACCCAGTGGGGCTGTTTTAACCCGTCCCCTCGCCAGACTGAACGGGAGAGCCAGGGGAGAGCAGGGGCTCGGCCAGTCACAGGGCCTTCAAGCCAGAAGGACCTTAGAGGCCACGAGTTGGGGGCCTGGGCTTTGTCCCCCCTTTAGCCTGGCCCCCCCTCCACACGAACAGCCCCTCATTGTCTGGGGCCCCTGTGATCCTCAGGGCTCCTTCCCCTCTGTGATCTCGGGCAGTCCTCACTAAAAGCCCAGGAGACAGGCAAGGCTGCACTGGTCCTCGTTCTGAAATGAGGTACAAGCCTCCAGGAGGAGAGATGCAGGTCACCCGGGTTTGTGACGGAGCAGCTCTGGTCCCAGCTCCTTCCACACCCCTCCTGCTCCTCCCCGGGTTCTTCCCTCCTCTCCTGGGCCCCTTCCTCTTTGTCATCTTTTATGAACTAAAGGGAGAAAACATGGTCTGCCAAGACCAGGATATAGAATTACTTGGGATTGGAACTCTCTGGTTTTCCGGTTTGGCCCCCAGAACTTCACCTTCCACAGTCTGTCCCCAGGTCCTCTGTGGCAGTGACCCCAGGAGAGCCCCTGTGGGGACACCCACCTCCATACGTCCATCCGCTGTGAACTCGCTGTGAACTCAGGCCGAGAAGCAGAAAGACGGGGGTGGGGGGCAAGAGCAGGGAGGGAGGGGAGAGGGAAGGGCCTTAGGAAAGATTGATTAAGGAGGATGCGGCAGGAAGCAGGTCATCCAGGGAAGGCTGAGAGATTTCAAGATGAATCTGGTCCAAACCACAGATTTTTCCTATATTAAAATATATGGTGTCCAGGAGAGAGGCCACAGTGGTGCCTCTGACCAATAGATCAGGAATATGGGTCTGTTTCCTAAAACAGTTTAGGCCAGCAAAGGATGACCAAGAAGGAGGGCTGTCTTCAGGAAAGAAGTAGGTTTTGGAGGAAGCTCTCGGCTCCCTCATCCTTAGATGAAGATCTTTGTCTAATTCTCAGTTGCCCCACGGTGACAAGGACCACCTCTGCGCTGCCTTTCTCTGGGGGTTTCCCAGGAAGGAAGCCCCTTAGTCTAGAGACAAGGAACCTGATTTCTACACTGGAAGGAGGTGGGACAACTTGCCTCTTGGCCACTTTCCAAAATCCAGTGGTTCTGCCTGGAAAAGGAAGCAAAGCCCAGAAAAGGGTGAAACAGCGGGGGAGACACACCCCACGTGGAGGGGGCCCTGCTGTATACATTATCCTATAGGGGGAAATCCTATATTGATGTTCCCAGATCAAATGTGCAGCCCCTCCCCACCATACTCTGGCCCATTCAAGGTGTGTCTTACTGATGGTGATGAAAATGCCCTCTGAGGAAGAACTGCCTGGCATCCCAGCGCGAAGTGGGTTCTGGAGCAGACCCCGAGCTGGCTTGGGCTGCACTGCCCACCCTGGCAGTTTGGCTGCCCTCCCAGAGGCGCACCCAACCCCACCCAGGAACTCAGCTGCTGGGAGCCTTTTTGTATAGCTTCACGCGTCTCCTCCTACCAGGACCACAACCACGTTCCAGACCTCAGCGCTCTCCTGAACTCGCTGCGATCGCCAGGTGCCCCCGTGTCTACACCAATTCTTAAACTCCCAAGTTTTAAGTTCCCTTTGAAACTAGAGGCCTCACCCATTGTAGTGAAATGTCACAGAATATAGGTTCTACCCATCACAAGCTTTCTAATTTCACATTTTTAATTTGTGTGATTTCTGGATGAAAAGACCTGCCAACCAACTTGCCAAACACGAGACGTCTGCCACGTGTAAATTACATTCCAATGTAGTAGTTTATTTGCAGAATTTTACTTAACCAATTCGCATTCCTTCCTATGTCTCATTGTTATATAAAAACCCGTCCTTTGCACAAACATGTAAAACACCAACAGTGAATAAGAAGTGAATATTGCACATTTAATGACCAAAGTAAGTTGTGGTTTTTAAAGGTCACACTAGGCACGTGGAAAGGAAAAAAAGAGTTGAACACACTTAAGAAGTATCTGCTGCCACGTGAATGATTGAAGCCACTGAAAGAAAAATAAATCCTAACCCTCAGTTCTCAGAAGATATCACATCTGTACATTTAAAAAATAAGTTATAATGAGCAACATTCCTTAGTAGTTTCATAAGCCCAAAATAGAGTCAGTAGTTTAATTTTATTTTTGCCAAGTGATTGTCATCAGAAATCAAGAATCTATTCAGACAGAAGGAAATTTCAACTTCAACTTCTACAGGACACATGTCGCTGTAACGTGAAAGGACCATCGTGGACCAGAACAAGGTCAGTATTAGCACCTGGTGGGAAACCAAGACCTTTATCCAGAACGACCCAGAGGCAAAGGGAAGATCACAGGAGGGGACAACTTTTTTTTTTTTAAAGCAACATGCTTATTACTCCATTTTTGCTGAATAAGACAAAGTTAACTGAGCAGAAAGATTGTCAGCTACCAGCTCAAAATAAGCTATAAAGTTGGTCCAACATGAAGCAGATAGTTTTAAAGGGTAAGTGCAAAGGGCCTTAATGTCAGACCTCTCACGCGGGCAGGTGAAGAGACCAGTCTTTGGCAGCAACGGATGGTAAACCGAAGTCTGGAGTCAGAACTCACCACCAGTTCGATGTGCCATTCAGTGGGAGGGCGCAGCTGCTCAGAGCCGACGCTGCCCACGTGTCCGTGGGGGTGGGCTCTGCTGCTTGACCCCCACTAGTGTGGCCAACCCCCAAGGCAGAGACCGGGCTGAGGGCCCGGGACTAAGGCGATTGCCACCTTACACGTGTGCCCCGGGTGCCTTGTTGGTTTCACCCGCGCCCTGGCCCTGCTGTCCCGGACGTGGCTCTTATTGCTAACATGGGCGAGTTTGGGCAGCTGTCCCAAAGTGCAGCCCTGTCAGACCTTGTGGGGGAAGAGGACTAACTAAAGGGACAAGGCATTTGGCCTGAAGAGAAGGGGGGCGGCAGACGGACAGGGTCGGGTGTGATGAGGTATGAAAATGTCCGAAGGTCTGACTGAAGGTCTGTCGTGAGCAGGTGAGACAGCAGCTCCGGCCCAGCCTGCTCCCGCAGAGCCAGGATCAGTGGCACCAGGAGGCCAGTTTCAGCTCCGCACAGAGCAGGACTACGCTGGGGCTCGTCCCCAAGGGCAGGACCACCGGCTACAGGAAAGGGCAGAGAAGAGGCTGGAGGATCAGGGCTGGGATCCCTGCCGAGTGAGAGGTGGGGCTGGACGAGCCCTAACGCCCCTGCTGACACCAGCCGTCATGACTCTACGGCATCTGCTTCCTGCTCCAGAAGAAATCATCAATTTTAGGAGTAAAAATCCAACAGAAAACTGCGTATCCCCTTCACTCAAAAGGAAGAAAGGGCGTGGACGCTCTAACTTGTACCACGTGGGCCCACGGATTGTGGTGACTGACGGGGAGGAAGAGGGTTGGCACTCGGGTAAAGGGAGGTTGGGCTGCTCTGGGGGTTTTCATTTTCTGGCTCAAAGAACCGGGAGACTCAGGAAACTCCAGGGAGGCAGATGTGACTGAGCCAACAAACTGTGAAACTATGAAACGAGATCGGAGAAACGCAGGGAGGGTCCTGGCTCCTCCACCAGGCCGAGCAGACACGGCACAGGACCTCCCTCCCGTGGTGGCCGTGCCTCCAGCTTGCTGCAGAGTCAGGCGGTGGAGCCAGGAGACCGGGCGCCAAGTGTGCATCTCTGACCCATCCTTTGTGCAGAGCAGAAAGGCGAGTGGAGGAGCAGAAGTGCTTCTCATCAAACCCAGGAAGCGGCCGGGCATCCCCATCCGAACCGGATGCCACTGCTGGCCACGTTCGGGGAGAGCCCTTGCTGGTCCACATTCAACGCCGCTCGGGCACCGGGGCGCCTCGGTCTTGTCCTGATCCAGGTATCTGCGCGCAGCATTGGTAACCGTCTCTGAAACTGGTCCTGTGCGCTCTCGGGGAGACTATCTTGCCAGCAAAGGCTCATTATTCCTGAAAGCCAGTGGGCAGACTGGCCTGTTCTCTTCCAGGAGGCTACAGCAGTGTTTCCACCTTCTGAACTATCTCAGTGTCCTTACAATTTCGTAGCCTTGAGTCCCTCAGAGGAACCTACGCTGTAAGCCTTCCACTGTTAAGCATGAAGAGGAAGCATTTTTATCAACCGTCTCTCACAGTATCAAAAAAAAATGGATAACATCAGACATAAAAATCTGCATCAATTTTAACAACTGAGATACTTCACAAGATCGTGTGATAGCCCTAAAAATCAGATTCTTACAGCTACAACCAAAGATTGATTTATTTATTTTTATAGTTTTTACAGGGCAAATACATTATAAATATTATAAACCTTCAAAAATTAAGAGATTAAACATAATTTTCTTTAAATGTACATACTGTCACTCCAAAGGTTCACATTCTAGGGTATCAGCAATTACACCCTCCTCAAAGGAAACAGCACAAGAAATACTTCCTGGCGTGAAATCTTTGTTACCAAGTCAGCCGTGGAACTGTCCACAGCTTCTAGAACATTCTTAGACACAGCACAGGGAAGATGACTGATTTTGAAAACGGAGAGATGCAAAAACAAGGAAAGCTCGGGGACGCCTCCCTCGGAGATGGACACCTGGCGGCCACAGAACTTGGAGGCCAACAGGGATGATCTTTACCGGAGCAAGTCTGTGGGGCAGGATGGTTCCATCCAAGAAATGAGGTTCAAAAAAAGAACAACTCCTACACATTCCCAAATGTTCAGGGAAGCACTCGAAAATGATATTTGAAAAGAGATGGTCACCTACAGCCCTCTTCCCCTGGCTAAAAGCTCTCAGTGACTGCTAGGACATTTTTAGGTAAGTCTCTTCGGGTGATAGCTAACCCATAAACAAAAGACATTTTATGCAGGTTGGACAACGAAATCAATTTTGAACCAACAGAATTGTGAATATGATGACAGAAGTCAAATTGCTAACTCCTGGGGGAAATGACAAGATCCAGAAGATGGCAGCAAAACAAGGCAACGTCACAGACAGGCTTTGGTAATGAGCAAACTGTTAACAACAACAGAAGGCACGTGGCGATTTGAAAAAAGCCAAATTTCAGTTAAGTCTCCTGAGCTGGGCCAGTTCCCAGGATCAGTGTTTCGGTGGATTTGCTAGGTTCATTTGAGTTTAAATAGGGAGTGAAGAAACACACAGGGAACAGAGACTCAAGTTCTCGGTCTCTGTCTCTCTTAACAGTAGGGCCTTCAGATGTCACACTTGGTGTCTGGGAAGAGCTGCAAATTTAGGTGTCTGCAGGGGCCAAGCAAGTGATGTGAACGAAAGAACCGGCTAGGGTAGAACCAAAGGGAACGTAGGTCTACAGAGGACTGGAGAGAGCAAGCCCTTGTCTACACTCTCACCCCCGGGGACCAAACAAAACACGCCTCTGCAGGGCAGGCCCCCCACAGACCGCCAGCCCGCACCCCCGATTTAGGCAGACAGCTCCTTCTCCATGAGGACACAGCTGGATGGAAATGGACTTGTCACCACCTCCCCTGTCCACTGTAGTCAGGATCAAACGGTCACATTTCTGACAAGACTCACTTTAACTCAGCCGTCTTATCTCCCGTCTGAGAGAAATAATACAGTACTTTTAAGTTGGTGTTATTTCCCCACAGTTGAGAAGTGCAGAACTTTTCAAAGCTTTTTCACTTTGAAGGAACACAGATGGGGTTCAGAAGTGAGGGTTCGACGTGATCCCAAAGTAGTTAGATCTGGCACAGGAGTCCTGACATTTAAATAAAACAGAGAAGACAGAAGTGCAGACGTACAGAACCCCATCCCTGGGTCTCATGAGATGACCGGGATGTTCGGCAACTGTGAGTGGCTTTCTACCCAAGTAGAACTTAGTGAGTTTCTCTTGTTGAATGAATACAAAAACTATGAAGTCCCTAGCGCGTTGTTAAGAGTTGAGGAAACACACATATCCACGTGTGTACGTGCACAACAGAATCATCTAGTGCCTACCAACTTGCATCCTGGTCAACTAACTCACTGGCCAGACTGCAGTGAAGCTGAGCAAAGTTATCTGGGCAACAGCAAAGGTAAATGTAAAGACAAACAGCGACAGGTTTATCAAGAGCCTCAGGGTTACTACCGTATGTTGTCCAAATAATGCACTTCTGGGTAAAGACAGTTCACAAGAAGAGCCAGGAAGCTCCTCCCGTCTTGCAGGCAATGACCAGGATGCTTTATGAACTGCACGGCTCGCGATATCTGGTCCTGGTATTCAGCGTACTGCTTACTCAATGGCAAGGATTCGAGGGCACTCAGAGCCTAGAAGACACGGAAGACAAGAGGGTTAACCACACGGATGAGTCTTCCCTGACTCCCGCAGGTGCAGCGCACCTGCACCTGTCACCTGCTACAGCTGTGAGCCTCCTGGGAGGCCGACAGGACAGGAATCGGAAGTCCCAAAGGCAGGCACTGATCAACCACAGAAGGAGGCCAGCAGCCGAGACTTCTCTGGCTTTTGCCACCTGCTACATCCAAGCCTTCCCTCCTCCTGGCCTGCGCTGCTTCCCCAGCCTTCCCCGCGGAGCAGGCTGGTCCTCCTGCTCGCCTGCCTCCCCCCGCCCCGGGCCCGCAGTGGCGCCCTCCCCACCAGATCGCCCACAGCCTCTCCTCCCGGAGCTGCAACCGGAAATCACGGGCCTCGGCCACCAGGGGAACCTGTTTAATCTAATGGTGGGTTTGTCCTCAGGCTACAAAATAATGTACTAAATCGTGTAGCTAGGTGAAATTCAGAAGAACCCGGTGGCTAAGTGCTGCTGAGGGTAAGTGATAAGGTCGATCTAGCAGCCAACAAACACAGGGCACAGACCAGGTTCCTCGGGCTTCTGCCCAACAGGAGCGACAGAGATGCTCCCATGCTCTTCGGGAGGAAAGAAAGGAAAACATTCTTTAGTTCCACAGTTTTCATTTTTCCTTCCCTTCACAGTGAGAGAAGAAAAGAAGAAAAGACTGTATTTGGAGAAAACAAACAATGGTTCTTGGGGGTGGGGGGTTTTGCTTCCAGCTGTCCAGGCTCACCCGCCCCAGGATTCTGAGTGTGAATTGTGCAGTGCCCCCCACCTTCTCCTCTCATTTACGGGGACCACTGCACTAGAGGCTACAGATTAACACACGGAATTTGCTCGGCTCAGTAAATAAGGAGGGAGATTTTTCTGAGGATAGCAAATGAACTGGCAGCTTAAAAATAAATTACCAGGGGGTTTAAGACAGAAGTTTGGGGGCTGAAAATAAACAACTGAGGGGATGCTGGCACCAAGCTAACTGCTGTGTGAACAGAGTTCATCTAAGAACAAGAACCAGTGAGGACGGGCACTCCCGTGAACCGCAGTGTCCACATCGCTCTCTTGTCCTTCTTTTCTTAGAAAGAATGGTCTACTTTGACAGTTTGCCTAAGAGTAGTCCTTTTATAAAAAGACTACTTCTTTCAAGTTTAAACTCCTGATGACAAGTGCGGAGGGGTACGTGGGGGAGTCATCACTTCCAGTCTGAGGGACGCCGGCAAAGCCAGGCAAGGCCCGGGCGCCCTGCCAGCCGCAGCGAAAGCACAGCCACGCTCCAGGTGCCAGTGGGTGCGCGAGAGCAGGCCTCTCCAATACGGCCTCAAGTGCACGGCACGGACTTCATGGGACGCTCACCTGCCCGCCGATGACGGCTCACATACGACATTAGGGAGTCAAATGGAGGTGTCTAATCCGCCCATGACAACTACCGGGTACGGTATAAACCAAGACGCCTGTGAAGACCCTGCTGAGTGCTTCGCTTGATCTTTGCTCGTAATGCCTGGGACAGAGGCAGCAATGCGGAGTGGCGGGAGCGTGGAGCCCGGCCCCAGACCAGCCGTGTGGACTCCAGCCCCAGAACTTAGTGGCTGTGTCATCTGAGACCAGTTACTCAGCTGTCTGTCTCCATTTCCTCACCCACGAAACCAGGATAATGAAAGTTCCTCTGTTAGAGGGCTGTTAGAACTTTCATTCACTAGCATCAAGTGAATTAAAACTTACAACATTGTGAACTGACTATACCAAAATAAAATAAAATAAAATAAAAACCTTACAGCAGTGCCTGGCAGTAGGAAGCAGTCAAGAATGCCAGCCTGTTTACTGGTGGAAACAGTTCCGTGAATGGGACCACGCCGTGTGGCCCTCCACGTTTCTAGAACAAACTATAATTTCTCACAGCTACCATTCTGCCCACATCAAGCTAGTCCAACATCAGCCCACAGTGGTCCGCCTCCAGGCGCACAGAACGGGAACCACTTCCTCGGTTCCCAGTCACAGCTCAGCTGACCTCCATGTGTCTCAGGTGCAGTCACGGCTGTGCTGGTCCCCAGCCCTAGCAGGTGGCAGGTCAGCCCAGTCACGTCATCAGAAACAAAGCCGATCCAAGACTGGCTTACCCAAGGCCAAGCTTCTTCTAAAGTGGGGGTAACAGTGCTGGAGGCACGTGCCTACAAAACCTGGCTTCAGGTCTGCGGCAGGCACAGGTGGTACCTGTGCTCCAGGAGGGAGAGCCCACCAGAGGGCACGCTGTGCCGCTGCAGGTCCCCGCACCGTCACGTGTAAGGACCACAGCTGCCACCTGCCCGGTCCTGGGAAGGCCTGGGGGAAAACTTCTAACCCGTAAAGCTTTTCACTGACCTGCTGAGCTTTCAGGGTCAGATGTAATTCAGAGCCAGGCTTCAAACGGATCTGATCCTCGGCAGGAGCCTGAACTGAAAGGAAAGCAGCCATGCCTCGGGCAGCCACTCGGAACCTTGGGTGATGGGGGGGGGATTAGAAGAAGCAAATGACGACAAAAGTAAGCATTGAAAAAAAAAAAGCCACCATAGAGTCTATTACAAACAATAACAAACACATCTCCAGACCTACTGCTGTTGTTAACCTCTTCAGGAAAATCGTAAATCTGATCAAGGAGTCTTCATCTCCCCTTCCATTATCATCTCCCAAACAATGAAAGCATAATTCAGACTTGAGAATCAAAGCGTTGGCAAGGATATGGAATGACCGGCACTCAGACACTGCCGGTGGGAATGTTAAAAATGTTGCAGGTGCCATGGGAAACAGCTGGCAGCTCCTCAGTGGGTTAAATGCAGAGTAACCATATGACCCAGCAATGCCCAACGAACTGAAAACAGGTGTTATAACAAAAATCTGTATACAGCTTTCTCAGCAGCACTGCTCACCACAGCCAAACAGGGGAAACAACCCAAATGTCTCTCAACTGCCGAATGGATAAACAAAATGTGGTGCATCCATACAATGGAATATTACTGTCATAAAAAGGAAAGAAGTATTGACAAATGCTAAAAATGGATTAGTCTTGAAACTTAATGCTAAGTGAAAGAAGTCAGACACAAGAGCCACATATTATATGATTCCATTTATATGCGATGTTCAGAACAGGATACACATAAAGTTAGAAAGTACATCATTGGCTGCCAGAGACTTGGGGGACAGGTGAACAGCATGTGGCTGCTTTAGTAGGTGTAGGATTTCCTTTTGGGGTGATGAAAATGTTCTGGAACAAAACAGTGGTGATGCCTGCAACAACACTATGAATGTACTAAACACTACTGCATTGTACATTTTAAAAGGGTTACCACGATCAACTTTATGTGCATTTTACCGCAATTTAAGTCAATCAAATCACATAGTCCTGCTAAGTTCTACCATAAGCAGAAACATGATCTTAACTGGTTTGGAATGAGTGGTTCCCAAAGGTGCAATGGGCTATTCCACAGAAGACTGGCATCAGGATAGTACGAGAACTCTTCAGCCCAGGTAAGGCCTTTAAAAGAAAACTGGTGATGCAAACGAGTCTTGGGAGACAAAATGGGGCCAGTGGCAAAATCTGTCATGTTTTGAATTTTTCAGCAACAAAACCCTGGACTTAGCCATCATTACTTACCCTTCTAATCAGTTAACTCCATCTCATCCTGCCTCGAGAGCTGTGCTAGGCCGCGCCCCTCACGGGGCCTGGACTGCCCTGACGAAGCGCAGGGAGTGAAGCACCTGACCGGGGGATTTTAACTTAAAACCGCGAAGCATCCCTGGCTCCAAGCCAAAAAGCAATGAGTCGTGTGGTCAGCTTACAAAATTCTTTGAACATAAAAGTCGTTTAAAAATGTGAAAAAATAAACATGCATTTTAAAAGATAAAGATGCAGGGGGAAGGGTCTAGCTCAAGTGGTAGAGCGCATGCTGAGCACCCAAGAAGTCCCGGGTTCAACCCCCGGTACCTCCTCCAAGCGCAAATCAATGAAGAAACCTGACTACCCACCCCCACCCCCGAAAATACAAAGGTGCAATCAGGCACTGACTGTTTCTTCTCAATCTTTTGGGGGAAACCAGCTCCTACATAAAAAATCTGCTAAGCATCACACCCCCGAGGCAGATGTGAATGTCTGGGGCCCGCTGAGCAGCGCAGCGCGGGTCCTCCTTACCTGTTAGACAAGGGCGACTTCCGGCCCAGCCCAATGGCCCCGAGAATCCCGGAGCTGAGCCTCTCCTCAGCCAGCAGGTTCTGCCTGCCCTGGAGCATGAGCAGAATTCGAATGACTGATTCCGTCAAGACCGAGTCATTCTGCTCCGTCTGGACCAGGGACAGCTGCAGGACCTGGTGCCACCACAGGAACAGCTTCGCTTCTTCCTGGCTCGAGCTGCCCGGGGTCGGGGAGAGGGTGCAGGAGGAAATCCAATTAGGAGTAGGTTCCTTCCAGTCTCGTTTAACTGAACACCCATACATGAGTTTTAAGTATAAGGGACATTTAGTACTCTAAAAGCTTAGGCTGACGGGTGATAATGTTAATAAAGTAATCGGGCAATAAAGAAGCAGCTA